CACGCATTTCCCAAACGTTTATTTTATTAATGTTTTCAAGTAACTATATAAAATTATATCAAATGTAATAAATTCGTGAATTTATTCCTTCATTTCTGTGATAGAAATATATTCTGTTTTTTTTAAATGGGAACAAATACAAATTGTTTCTCATATAGAAAAACAAATATAAATTGCTCCGCTATGAACCGCTGTGAAGTGAATTATTCGACAGTGGAGTAATATTTCTCGGATTTTGGAGAACAAAGAACATGACCTACTTTTCGTTATTCAAATGCTGACGTAATTTCTCCCGATTTATAATAAATGTTACCTAGTTCTCGTTTTCTCTCCCGAATCGACGTTCGTACGGTCAAGCGCAACGATTGAACCGTAACGACGCATGCGTCGTGATTCTCGAAATTGCGAGGCGATAGCGTGACGTCATCGGTATCTCTGACGTAGTTTCAGCATGATATTAAACCCGTCGACCGGGTCAGGACATTACCTCAAATAACTGAAAACATCCTAATAACTTGCAGCCGAACAATGGCACTCTATCTATCTATCATGGAAAACTTGATTCTCCTCTACTCTTCCCACGAATTTTTATTCTGATTTATATGCTTGACGTGTCGAATGACAGAAATATTGATACTCCGATTCGGAGTGTACAGCCTTGTACAAAAATATTAGGTATCTATATTTTCTTCATTTATCTGAAATTCTTCTACTTGTATTATTAAGTACTTCTTAATTACAAATTTAAGGCATTATAAATTTAAGGATTCTTGAAATAGAGAATGTAATTTACAGCGTACGTCATAAATCAATTTTTGAGCTAAAACTTTAAATAATGATTAATAAGGTGCCTAATATTTTTGGCCAAGGCAGTATTTAAAGATTTTCAAAAAGATAGAAACTTATCGAATTTAATATTAAAACGCCCACAAATACCTTACATATCTTTTGGACATATCTTTTTCTTAGAAAAGAATCTAGAAGTGCATATAAAACAATCGCTACGTTAGGCTTATATCTATGTATTAAGCTGGATCCTCCACCATCAAAAATCAAGTTCTTATTCTCAAAAATATAATTTATGAAAGATTTTTTTATATTAAGAAATAAATAGAAATCCATACGAATTGTTCTCATAAAGAGATTTATATAAAATATTTTTAAATACTTTTTCCACGATTTTTCTGAACGAAATATTATTTACAAGAATGAGTTACCTCAAAATTTGTGTTTTTGACACTTGACTACAGAATTCTTACATCGTGGTATTTATTAATACCACGTTCGATGAAGGAAGCCTGAATCTTCTATGCGAGCAATTAAACCCAATTATATCTAATTTTCATACTTTTATCTTCAACTAGAAACGTGTTTGACATATAAATAGAGCAATTGCCTGGTACTTTCGATTTGACATTCTATACTCAATAGTTTCCATATCGAGAACTAGGACGTACGTATAATAATTTTAGTTAGATAGGGAAGTCATAAAAATTGGGTTTATTCGCTCCTAAATCAATTAAATCTACAGCCAAACATTATAATAAAATCAGTCAATTTGAAAACATTATAAGTCCAATAACTGAAATTATTCAAATTTAATATCGTCATTTATACAATACAGATTAAAAACTGTATCGAAAATCACTTTGCAAAAAAATTTACCAGAAAAATAGGATGTGTGAATTATTAGATTTTTTTAAATATTTATTCTGATAAAATAGTTTTTTTGGTCGACTCGTATCTCTGCACAAAAGAACGGTTTTGCTACCTAACAATTTCGTCAGATACACAGCTGAAAATAATTTTTGTTGGACCATCAAAATAATTGTGTAGAGCACTTTATAACAATGTTGTACCAAGTCTTAACATTCTAGCAACCAGTTTGAGTGTGATTATGTCGCTTATAAATTAATCCCGATAATGAAGTAAACATTGTTCAATTTCAAGCTGCAAATATTCTACATAATTACTTTGATAATCCAAACAAAATTATTTTCAGTTCTAGTCAAATTTTTAGCACTTCATTGAATTACTTTTTCACTGAAAATGAATAGCCAGTAGATTCTGATCAATAAGAATTCTTCTGCTTATCTCAACTAGAACATTTAATAGATTTAATCAGATGATTCCGATTTATCCATTTTTGAACAGAATTCCGATTAATACAACCAGACTGTTTTTCCAGTGCATCAAAACCGTTCTTTCCGTGTGCAAAGTATCACGCTTTAAAATCCATTTTATCGAATTTTCCACCAATTTCGTCAAAGCTACTGTTAGTCATACTCTTGAAACATGTATTGTATTTTCGAACGATTTAATATCTAGAACGTAGCATTCCGCTACAGGTGTTGTACAAACTTACTTATCGTTTCTACGCTAAAAAAAAACTAAGCGATCTACACTTTCACGTTCTGTCTCGTTTCCCGTTAATTATGATCTGCCCGATTGTTTCCGAACTGACCGATTTATTAATCCTGTTGGGGACGCTGCATAGATTCGCGCGACAAATGATAATTGTGACCAAGATAAATGGATCTCTGAGAGACTCACCCTGCATTTTCAGTGGCAGCAATGGACATGTGCCTCCTCTCATCGAGGGTGGGCGCGGCGTCGAATTGCCGGGGGAGATCCGTGGTAATGAATTGAAAGTCACGCGTGCACGAGAGACGTTCTCCTCTCTCTCTCTTCCTCTCTCTTTCCTTCCCTCCTTTCTTCTCTTCCTTCTTGTGGGACACCACCCTCGCGCACCAACAGAACTTCTCACCACTACACCGCCGATATCACCACCAAGCGACAACAGGGTCGTTAACCACCACGCGCGACACCAGTATCACAGAAATCAACACGCTCTCTCCGTCGCGATTCGAGATACAAAGAAGAGAAGGGAAAGAATAACCGACGGGGAGGAATAACCGCGAATACGTTCGAATCCACCTTTTCCCACGACTTGGTCCATATACACGCACGTAACGGCTGAGTTCCCGTTCTCGGATTACTTTTCGGGAGGAACGAAGTTGTGGATATCGCAACACGCGCGTGGATATCGTTCTCGCGATTAATCGTCGATTAGCCGACCGAGCTCGACGGTGACATCCGATGATGAGTTGGGAACTGCATCGTCGTCCTTCCGCCGACGATTTTCAGACGTCTTCTCGACGACATTCGATACGGACGAGCCCGTGCCGCGGCTGTCGACCACGTTCTTCCTCTCCGATGCCCACGGCAGGTGCAGGCGAGGAGAGCCTCACACGAATTGGATCACGACAGAGTTTCGAGCACCGTCGGTCCCGGTTTCAACGATGGCGTGATCGACGAACACACCGTGATCTCTCTATCGAGACGACGCGTACACGTCGTCAGGGTGGGCCCGTAGCACGAGCGATGGGAGTGTCTCTTCCTCGAAGCCGGGCCCTCCTTCGATTTTTTTTCTTTCAATCTCTTCGAATCTCCGCAGAGTTGTTTCAAGCTCTTCCTGCCGGCGAAAGCTCGAATTGATCGAGTTTTTCGCTTCCGCCGCCGTGGAATTCTGTGTTGATCTTTCCAAACTTTCCTCACAATCCACAAAGTTCAAGGGCTTTTTTGCGTCGATCCTCGATGAGCGAATCGATCCTGGAAATGACAACAGTAAATGCCAGGTGAGTGAGAGAGTGACAATCGTGCAAGTGCAAGCGGAAAGAAAGAAAGAGTATCGTGCTATGAAATGGGTCCGCGTAACGCGTTAATGAGCGGAACGAATAAAAAAATTGCGTCGTACATTACGTCGAACGCATTATGCGTTGCGTCCGACGCGTTTTGCATTCGGTGACGAGCTCGTAATAGTTGCAAATAGCTTCTAGCTTATCTGTGAGGTAATCAGCGGAATCGTCAGCAAACAAACGGTTACCGATACCTCACTGGAATGATATAAAAATAACAGTTACAATTTATATAGAAATAGATTCGCATACGTGTCATGAACATAGATCACTCAAATAACTATTGTAACCGTATCATTATTCCTTATCTTAATTTGACTATCATTGGCGCTTATATTTTAATTGTTATAATTATAGTTATTTTTATAACACATTTATATTTCGTATAAAAATATATAACAAAACGCAGAACGTACGTTCAATTTATAATCGTAAAAAAACTTTTTTTTTACTTGCGTTAAACATTTTGTCCTTATTTAATTTTTTACACACCCGAATATTAATTTATGTGATTATGTTATGAATATTTTGTAATAAATTGATGTTTAATATTTATTAGTGTTGAAATGACACAATTTATGTATAAGTAACATAAAACTAATGTAATTTTAAAATGCAAAATCAAACATAAATCGATAAAAAATAAATGTATGTTAATTTAACAAATTATAAATGTTAATTTTACTGAAGAAATATGTTTCTATTTCCAAATATTATGTCAAAATATTACATATGTTTGATGTAAATTTTACATAACGTTTACTTTCTAACATATTCAAACACGTTCGTATTAAATTAACACAAGATGGACGTCGCTTGAGACACATGACACGTTGTGTTAAATTTCATGTAAATTTTGCAACTGTGTAAAACGTATCATTAAAAGTAAAACAATAATACAATTACTATTATTGTAAATTATAATAAAGGAATTAAATACATAAGAAATAAATTTTGTATCTTTCTTAGAAATCATTAGATATTATAATATTTTCTTTCAAAGTATGTATAGATATGAATAAAGACAACAAACGTGATGTTCAGCCTTCCAGAACAATGTTACCATTGTAACGCCTTACAAGATAACGCAACTTGCGATTATTACTCGAGAGTTGTGCGTTATTATGATAGAAATATTTTAATAATTTTGCACGTCCAAAAAGAAAAAAATTCACTTATATTCAAAGCTAAAATTTATAATTTTATTCATCATATCAAGATGAAATCTGCGAAATGTTTTCCAATGAAAAATGCTGCAATATTAAATTGCTTAATTTTAATCTCTCACTTATTACAAGATAAAAACTGTATATATTTTATTATACTTGATTATATATTTACGTGCTCACTATTACATATAGGTATCGTTTAATCGCACACATTGTATTATTATTTTCCAAACGACTATCTCTCTCTCTCTCTCTCTCTCTCTCTCTCTCTCTCTCTCTCTCTCTCTCTCTCTCTCTCTCTCTCTCTCTTTATGTACACGATACAGAGTCGCGCCTTCCGTAAAATCGCGAGGACACTCGCCTGCGTTTTTCCCCGTTTTCGGCGAGGCAGAGCGTTCGAGAAGGTTAAACGCATCCGCAACTAATGGCAGGTTTCGAAAGCGAGCCTCTCCGCAACACAACCAACTGTCGTTCCCGTCGTCGTCGCGGCCACGGTGTAACCTCGCGCATCACATGGCGTCGCGCACGACGAGAGGCACTGCCATTAATACAATAGCCCCGGTGCGTGCATGCGCGGCGCATGTCCACACGGCCCATTCTCTCGCTTCCGAAACATATGTAGACCGTGGGCGCGTTTAGGAAAACTCGGGGAGATCGATATCGTCGTCGGCCGTCGCGTCGTCGACGACGACGCTCCGTCGCGAATTTGCGCAATTTATCGGCGAGGTCTACGGGGTGTCCGGAACTCCGCGACCGATTCCAACGATAGGTCTTCCCTTTCGTTGGTAAATAACGAAAAGATGTAATTACATGGCTAATTATATTCGCGATTTATTTTCTATTTTTTTTTATATTAAATATGTACAATTTTCTTTCAATTTTCATCAGGAACATAGAACTGTGTTCCGTTAAAGTTGCTATTTGGAACTATTGTTTTGTTTTTTTTCTAAATATTAATAAAACATGCCAATTTTACAGACACCGGTCAGTAGTCAACCTCTCTCTATTTAATAGTCTTGATAAGAGAATCGTTTGCGTACGCCGATGCCGACGTTCTTATATTATCTTTACATGGAAAAAATGGTTTTGTGTTAAAATATTTGAAAAAAACTTAAGTAGCTCTCAAAATAATTATGTACTTAGGAAACGTGTTGAGCAATGCTGCAAGAAGTTTTGACAACCACCTTAAGTATCTTATACAATTATTCGATAATCCAATAGAATTATTTTCGGATCTATGATTGAGCTACAATTTTTAGATATTTCAGCAAAACTGTCCTTCTCGAGTACGAGAATCTTCTAAAAATGTTATCAGAATTAGATCTACTTGTCATTGAATTACACATTTCTTTTCTACGTGTCGGTTAAAATTGAGGTCAAAGTAGAACGTCACTTCCTGCGATCAGAATTTTCTTTTAAAACGACATTAACAACGTATTAAAACGTCGCTTACGATGCATGAAATATTTTTCTCGCTATCCGCGGATATATTAAGTGACTCATCGTGCAGCGATTCCGTACCACTACAGATGCAGTAGCGAAAAATCACCGACACATGATCGCACAATTTAGTAGAGGCGACATAGCGATCGGTCTGCGTTTTTTTTCCCCCCCCCAACATCAACGCGTACTCGAGTCGAATTCGCGCCTAAAATACGCCAAATTCATAATTAATTTCGAAATCGCATTACACGAGTTAAAGAGAGCGTCATCGCTCATCATTTTCATCATGTTCTTCAAACAAATATAACGCTCGCTTTAAGGTACTTACGTCACGCGAAAAACATGGCCTAGCTGCAAAGTGCAACCGCCGTTTTTTTTACCCGAAAACCGCATCGCGTTATCCGCAAAAGATGGTTTCCACGAAAATAATGTGACTGCATTGTAAATACAACGTATTACATGGAAACGTTGAAATATATCCGTTCCAAAGTCTCCATTCTTTTCACATTAAGTTATTAAAAATCGTACCCTGACCGAAATATATTTTTCGTAGTATAAATATTATATGTAAGCGCAGATAAATTGAATTTTAAGAATGTATCTGGCACACAGTATCTTCTTCCATAAAACCCGTCGAAGATTTCTATATAGACAACAGGCTATTTTGCAACGTCTGCAATTATTATTGTATTTCATGGCAAGCGAATACAATTTACAATAGCAAGAAGAATTGAGATAAGATCCTCTGAAATCGGTTTGAAATTAATAGAAAATGCCGATAAGAAATATGAGATTGAAAGAAAGACAGAGAAAGAGGCATACAGCCCTGTCGACTTAGGTCGTAATGTTTACGACACGTCAGCATTATGAGGTTAGCACTTCAAGTGGTACTATTTAAATAACCCCGCTGCTCCTGTGTTACGCAATTTAAAGGGCCTCGAAGGAAAAACTCGTAACTTTGTCGGCTTAAGTAAAGACTAAACAGAGATTAGAAAGTTGTGAATAAAGCTATGTTCCTTTTCCTTGTATTATTACTATTACACCGCTACTTTCCTTAACTAACTCTCTCTCTCTCTCTCTCTGTCTCCTTAGAATGACATTAAACATGTTAAATATATTATATACAATTTTCAATTTTCAATTTAGTAATCGTACAATTTGCCTTCCGAAAATTATATATTTTAAATTATGTAACTGTACGTCATTATTATTTAGAAAATTATTGCTTTCAATTTTGCAAAGAAAATTCTATCGCAATTGGAAGAAATTTTAACAATAAAGAACCTTTCTATAGAAAATAAAAACTAATATGACTCAAAACTGAAGTTTTTGGTATTATTAACATGATATAATATCATATGTTGCGGGCCAAAGATAAAAACATCAGTAACACACTAAGGCACAAAGATTGTCTTTCCTTCTGGATTTAGCCAAAATGGCCAATTTCACTAGTAGTTTCATAAAAAACAAGGCCGATGTTTCGTAGTCTTCTTTTTAAAAATGAAAGGTTTTGCGTAACCACGACGATCCTCGGGAGCCCTGTACGAGCCGCACAGTCCTCGAAACACACATCAAAACATCGTTGTTGTAGAGGTAGGCCTATACAATTTGGTTGTATACAATGCGAGTACATTGTAACTCCTTCTTCGAATAGTGGCTTAGGCGATGCGATCGCGTGACATGCCCTTAGGGCGACCGTGGGCTTTCTCGAGCTCATTAGACCGAGAAAAAATTTAACGCAGAAATAAGAGAATCCACGGGATCGAAAATTAGACGGACCCCGCGTTCGTTCGTAGAAAATGTGCCACTGCCATTGTCCAATTTTTATCCTGCCATTATTGTGATTCGCCCCTCGGGGGCGAGCGTGTGAGAGGAATGGAAGGAGAGAGAGAAAGATGTTTGTTCCTTTCAAAAATATATTCGCCGCGCCATGTAATCAATCGTTCGCTATCTATCGCAGTTTGGCTTCCCCCTCCTCTTCCTCCAAGATAATGGATGTATCCGTGTAAATGAGTCCGAATAGCTCATCGTTGCGAAACAAAATTGTGGAATTTACTCTAAAAAAAGTCGGGTTACTAATGGCATATTTAGCCAGAAGAAAAATGCGAAAGCTTGCATGCTTCAGAAGGGATAAGAGTTATTTAACACTGAAGCTTATATTCAGTGTGTTAGATGCGATTCCTGTACAATGCATATTTAATAGCGACTAGAAAGATGTAATGCCAAGAGATGTAAAACGTCTTTTTTTGAATTACTTCGGGAAGAGAGATACTATAATTTAATAATCTGTCAATAATAGTAAAATTAAAAATACAACAGAAATTTTTAAGAGAATATCAGAGTCAAGTTTGCAAACAATTTGTTTATTTAGTGATAAATAAAAAGAAATTTTGAAAATTATAATCAATGTATTAAACTAAAAATTAAAATCAATGTGATTCATGGACAATGCTAGTAGCAACTAGAGATATAAGGAATTGAAAAGATATTAAACGTTTTCTTTTGGAGTTTACGTCGAAAAGAAACAGATATTACAATTATAATTTGATAATCTGATATAATCTGATTATCAATAATAGTACAATTTCTAAGAATACTACAGAAATTCCGGAGACACGAATATCAGAGTCAAGTTTGCAAAGAATACCTGTTTAGAAATAGAGATAAGTCTGTCCAGCATTGAAATCTGTTGTTTTCGTTGAAGTATAAATCAGAGTTCCTAATAATCTCCTAAGTTTCCCAAATCCTGCACTGGTTAAAAAGGATCGTTTCGCCCCAAACGTCACGCAGTATCGTCCTTTTCAAATTAAGAAAGAAATATGAGGGTCTGTCCCTTTCAGCAACACCATTCTGCGGCTGGAGCCGTGACAAAACACGGGCGTTTACACATCGTTTATCCATTGACACCTCGAAAAAAGAAAAGAGGACACACATAAACATTGGGAAAGCATTGTGGAAACTGTCACCGAAAGAAAACAGACCCAGAGTGGAGTCACGAGACTCGAGAGAGAGAGAGAAGAAAAATGGCAAAAGGAAAAAAAAGGATACAAAACATGCGTCTTACTTCGTCCTCGGAGACGGTCTCGCTCTTTCTCTCTTCGTCGCAGGTAGACGGTTGTGTGGCGAGATATGATATGATGCGATGCGATGCGATGCGATGCGGCGTGGTGCGGCGCGGCGACGCACAATCGAAAGCGCGATGGTGAACGCCGCGCGAGAGCGCGCCACGGACGCGACGGCGACGGCGGCAGCGGCAGCAGCGGCGGCGGCGCGCACAGCGAAGCGCGACGAACTTGACTCTCAGCGGAGCAGCGGACCGTCCGACGAGCGAATAAAAACGGAACGTAGAAACCCGGCCGCTGCTTTCTTGCGGCGTCGCGCGCGATCCGGCGCGTCGCCGTGCATTATAAAGCGGACTCGTATTTCGCTCGTATTATTCGTCGAGCCTCGCGCGCAGGAACACACAACCGAGGGGTAAAACCGCGCAGCGGCGAAAGAGAGAGAAACGTTTTCGCGAAACGGCAACACAACACGCGGGGAGACTCGACTGACTGACTGACTGACCGACGACCGACTTATCCGCGGAACAACGACGATTCCATTCTCGCTTCGCGCTGCCGTCGGCGAGTTTGAGGTCGAGGCTGTATATCTTCTCGCTCTCTCCCTCTCCCTCTCTCTCCTACCAGTCTCCTCTTCCTTTCTTTCGCAAGAGAGGCCCCGAAGTCTGGAGCGCCGGTCCTAAAAAACAGGGCACGGGGGGACGGACAGCGGAAACGACGCGCGCACAACAGTCGCGAGAGCCAGCTGCGAGAGAAATATCTGAGAAATACAGAGCGACGTGTCTGCTTCTCTCTCTCTCTTCCTCACCTCTTCCTCCTCTTCTACCGTCGTTCTTTCCGCAGAAAAACACAGTGGGGCGCCACGGGATGCGGTTGATACGCGTCCGCCTTATCTCTTTTATATTCCGCTTCGCACGTGTGTCGGAAACGCGCGCGTGCCAGCAGCGCGACGTTGCTGCGCGTTGCAACGACGACGACGACGATGATAATAATAATAGGACGCGACGCGACGCGAATACGGAAATGTACGGGGCGCCGCGTCGCGCTTCAAGCCTTCCAGAAGGGTCTATCTGCTCGCGGTGTAGCTGTGTCTCGCGGCCGGCGGCCTCGCCGCTCTTCCCATCCTCCGCAGCGGCGTGTACCTCCTCGCGCCTGCTGTTGCTGTTGCTGTTACTGGACAGTACACGCAAGTACGTTGCGGCGGCGGCGGCGGCAGCGGCAGAACGTCCCGCTCCCCGCTCTCGTCCCCCGCCCCGCCTTCCTCCTCCTCGCCCTTTCCTCCGACCCCGTCGACTCCGCGCTCACGGCGAGAGCGCATATATGTATGCGTGTATGTTCTTTCTCTCCTCCTCCTCTCTCTCTCTTTCTCTCTCTCTCTCTTTCTCACTAAGCGAAACGTATTTATTATCTATCGCGCTCTCGCTCACACTTCTCCCCGCGACCGTTTCTCGCGATCTTACCAGGCACGGTCTCTCTGTCCTTCCTCCGTCTCGTTCTATCTCTCACCGTTTGCACGCAACAGACACACACCGCGCGTTCTCTCTTTCTCTCTCTTTCTCGTCTCTCCGCGTTATTGCGTATAACGAAGCGCGCGTACTTTGTGTGTGCGTGGTGTATTATGTGGACAGGGAGGCAGAAGGAGATGGAGACGTAGCGTGCAACGGTGACGACGATGACACCACGACGACGACGGACGGAGAGCGCGCGCGCGCGCGCGCGCTGTCCGCTCAGGGTGCGCGTTTGTATAAGTTGGGTGCGCGCGTGTATGTGTCTCTCTCTCTCTTTCTCTCTATGTATACTTCTCGATTAGCGCGACCCGACGTGCGTGACGTCACAGAGTAGCGCGACGACGTTACATCGCCGCACGGTCTCCGACCGATTGTTTGTCACTCGCGCCGCGAGATCGCGACGACGGGGAAAAAGCGGAGCTCTCGCTCAAAACGAAACGAAGCGAAGCGAAACGGGCGTGGACGTAAAAGCCGCGGAGACGATCCAGCGATCCAGCGACTGAGCGACGGCAACGACGATGAGAGCGGCGCCGCGCGCGAGAGCGAGAGCAGGAGAAAGAGAAAGAAAGAAAGAGAACGCGGAGCGGCCCGATATTTTGTCACTGACGCGACGACTGTCCCGTGTCGTGAGTACGCCGCACTTATTTTCCACGGGTTTCACGCGTAAACGTTGGTTGGAAACGTCGACGACGAAAAACGGGCGCGAGCGACGCCACGCTTTTGCTTTGACGGCACGCGCGAACGAACCCGCGGTTGGTACTACTCGTGAAACGACTGACGACTCCCCATCGCGCAACGACTGGCGCGGCCGCGCCACAAACGACGATTCCAAGTGAGAGAGGGGAGAGGGTGGTAGCGCCGCTAGGTGGCACCGCTGTTTTATCGCGGAGCGAGACTGACTTCACCGGACTCCACTCCTTCCGCTCCTCCGGGGGCTCCGGCGGCCCACCGGCACACCGCGTAACATG